GATCGTAGGAACTGATGAGACTAACAGACTGTGCTGATCCCAACTAAGATATCCTGAGTCAGGGGCCAGCAAATAACAGAAACCCCCTGCAAACCCCATGCTCTACTCCTGTGATATACCTAGGAACCCTCAGGGTCCAGGACTCATCAAGAAGTCACCAAAATAGCCCACTGTCACCAGTCTGACATTGTGAGAGAAAGTAAAGGGAAAGGAGAGAGAGATAGAAACATCAATGATGATTGTGTGTCATCGATCAGCTGCCCCTTGCACGCCTCCTAGGGCAGATCGAGCCCAAAACTAGGGCATGTGCCCTGACCGGGAATCGAACTCTGACCTCCTGGTTCATGGTTGGACGCTCAACCACTAAGCCATGCAGGCAGGGCTGTTTGTTTTTTAACCCCCCCCCCCAAGGATATGTTTAGAGAGAGGAAGAGAGAGAGAGCCAGAGCGAAACGTTGATGTGAGAAACATTGATTGGTTGACTCCCATGGGCACCCTGATGGGGGATCAAATCCACAACCTGGGAATGTGCTGTAACCGGGAATCAAACCTGCAACCTTTTGGTGTGGGGGACAACGCTCCCACCAACTGAGCCACCTGGCCAGGGCCTTAGCAAAGAGTTTCTTTTAAAATCAATATAGTAGTAAAGAATACAGAACTATATAGCAGGTATTGTATACTATACAACTTCTAGACTTCTACACCATTTATTACTAGTTGTGTGAAATGGCAATATATTATTTAGGCATTACTCTGCATAGCTTAAGTTATCTTGTTGCCATAGTGACTTTTTAAGGTTACATTTATCCATGTATTTATAGGCTTTTCAAAAGACTTAGTTCAGTTTTAAGTTTTAATAACTTCAGAAGCATAAATGCTACAAGCTTACATATAATTTTCAAGTAAATTTTATTTTACATTTATGTAACTTTGCTAATTTTGAATAACAAATTTGTATTTTAATATTTTAGTCCCTTTGGTTTAAGATGGAAACTATTGGCTGAAACAAGAACTTAAGTCTTTTGGGACAACCTGTGTTTTCACTTTGTGCTTACTGAAATGCTTGATAGATAACTTCAGGACTGTGGCTATGGCCATTACCAAGTTTGAAAGGGAAAAAAAAGATTTGAAAGAAAAATGTATTGCAGTTATAAAAAATATTTATTTTTAAATTTAATTTATATTCTTACAAATTTATAGAGAAGTTAGAATTACAGTAAAAGTATATTTTTTCTGTATCATTAATATTACATTGTCACACCTATGGCCCATTCAACCCTTGATGTGTATTTCCTACAACAGGGATTTTTTTCTACAAAAATACAACACAACCATCAAAATCAGAAAGTTAAAATTTATACACTTCTAGTACCTAATCCTCAGACTCCATTGGAATTTTTCCAATTGTCCCAATAATGTCCTTTATAGCAAAAGAATCCAGTTCAGAATCACGTTACATTTTGCTGTTCCATATGTTCAATCTCCTTTGGTCTAAAATAGTCTTCCATTTTTCCTTGACCTTCATAACCTTGACACTTTTGAAGAATATTTTGTGGCATGTAACTTAACTTGAGTTTGTCTGATGTTTCCTCATGATTAGCTTCATGTTATACAGATTTGTTGAGGATGTAACAAAAGTGATGCTGTATTTTTGTCATTTCATCTTATTAAATGGAACAAATTTATTTATCCCACTGTGATGATGTTCACATTGATCTTACAGAGATGTCTGCCCAGTTTTCCCATGGTAAATTACTTTCCCCTTGTAATTTATCAGTGTTTTGAGGGAAGTTACTTTGCAATTATGTATGCATTCTTTTCCTCATCAAAATTTCAATTTATTCATTACTTAGACATATAAGTATAGATTCATGAATCGCTATTTTATTCCATTAATGTCTTTATTTATTGAAATATCAATTTTCCCAGATTTGATTAATGGGGGCCACTTTAAACTGGTTTTTGTGCCCTTTGATATGTCTTATCATTCTTTGAGCAATCCCTTGTCTTTTAGTACAAAAAGATGTCCCATCTCAAATTGTCCCTTTCCTGCCTCAGCCCTGAAATCCTCCATTTCTCCAAGAAACCCTGGTTCTTCTAGCAGAACATGGCACTTAGAAGCCAAGATCTGGATGCCACCTATGCTCAGTTATTAGCATGTTGCTGCTCCCAGGCTCTCTGTTGAAAAGCTAGGGTCTATGTCTATACCTATCTCTATCTATATCCATATCTCTATATATCTATATATCTGTATTCCTATCCATGTCTCCATATATTTATAGCTATAACTACATACCTATCCATATAAGAGAAAGAGCAAGATATGCTACAAACACATTTACATCTATAGGTATAAATCTACCCATACATTGAGAACTGTGAGATCTGTTCACATCAATACCTCCAATTCTAATCCAAAACTAGAGAGTTCATTCTATTTTTTTTTTTTTCCTTTTGCATATCTGCAACTCTCTTCTCCAACAGTGAGAAACCTGGATCCCATTTTCTTACTTGATTCATAACCAATGCTATCCAAGCTCCCATCTCTGCCTTTCCCCGCTCCTCAGGCTCTGATACTTCAT